GTTTTTATTGACAAGGGTTATCCACCTGTAACTATCTGTTAATGACAGAAAACATCATTGCCGCTGTGATTTTTCATCAAAAAATTGTAGAAGAGGACTTTTTTGATATCAAGCATTTTCGTAATTTGAAGCAAAGATTGTAATTTTTCTTTTTGAATTCCAATATGCTACCAATTAAACATGAAACAATTTCTAAATAATGCTTAATAACAAAGTTGAAATTTGATCTTCAACTGTTAAAATTTTCTAGAAATTTTCGAAAAAAAAAATTTCTATATTTTTCTCGTACTCCCCAAGTGAGCCTCTATCTCCCCTTAAAAGGAATGACGCCAATTTTGAATCACCCTGTATAGGCCGATCCATTTAAAATAAGCAAATGTATTTAGAATTTGGACTAGAATTAATTGGAAAATAATGTAATAATATAGAGGGTGGCCATCTTGAAAATATTTTAGATATTTTGCCCCAAGTGACTTCGGCATATTGTCCAATTTTTAAATTTCTCCTAATCACAGTTGCCAGATATCGATCGCGGCCGTTTCCGGTGGGACACCCTGTATGCTTGTGCTTTTTCGGTGTTACTTAGCGACTTCTTTAAGGATGTTGGATGCTTTATTATTACCTGCTGAGCGAAGCTTCATTCGAGTCGAGTAGGGCAACATATCGACAGGTTGTTCCCTCAAAGAAATAGTTTTGAGACAATCTGAACTTTCTTGAAAGCTTACAGTAGGACAACCACATTTACAAGCAATATTTTGATTCATTTTACGACGATATTTATTAAATTCCATATAACTCTCAAGCCACTCTATTCCTGCTCAAAAGATTCGGCTCATTTCTTCCGCGGTTTAAATTTCAACATGTTCAATTTCGATCTAAGGAATGGTAAAGCGTCTGCTGTGGTTTCTCTTTGAATATATGCTTGGAGGTTTTTGAATTTCTGATCCTGGCTAAAATCAGTTATTCGATTAAATAAATCTTCAATTTTCATTTTCAATACATCTTGATGCGCTTTTATAAAAAAAACCACAAATGGGGAATGAAAAAAGCAGGAAAAATATGACTTATTTGTAAAATATTCAGACACTGGACCAGTTTATTTTATTTTGGGTAACAACAAGCTAAGAGCAGCAGCCAGTTTTTTACAATAAAAAAGATGAATGTTTACTTTAAAAAGTTGTGTTGATGGTGCACCCTACGAGTTAGAGTTAAATTCATATAAATGTTAAATTTCGAATATCTAAAACATCTAAATACCAAATTTCAATAATATATTGAAATTATTAATTATTAATTATTATGCACAGATAAAGTACATACAGGGTGGTTTTTTAGTGCGATGGAGTACATTATTTCCGTCGGTGTTGAACTTGCAAAAAATAGTTTCATATAAAAGTTGTTGCGCACATTTTTATGATACATAGTGTCTCAGAAAAGCGAGACAAGATCAAAGTGTATTTTTTTAAATAGAACTACCCAGTTTTTATTAGCTCATGGAATGCATCTTGAAAAAAGTTTTGAAGAATTGAAGTCCACATTGTTAACACCCCGTACAATGTATTGATATTTTGGTTCAATAAAATTTTTAACGGATCTGTGGTGATTGGAAAGACGTATTTTTTGTATCTCTAACTGCTTTTTTTAGGTTCTACAATGATTTTTTAGATACCATGTTTTTAAGCAAAATTTTACTAACGCACTAAAAAACTACCCCGTATAAATAGCTAGACGTGTGCAGCATTTGAGCTCTTATGATTCAAAATTACCAAGTTTTGAATTTTTTTTAAAACACGTAAAGTTTTCTCCGGTTCTAATTCAACCATTTATACCTTTAAGATTGCTTAACTTGTTTATAAAAATTAACAAATGACATTTTGTGATCCAAAACCTACCGGGAATAAAGGACGGGCCGCCCTGCACGTGATGGTGTAGGTGGTTTTTCGATAGGATTTATATCAAGGACAATCCCTCTATTGCTTGGACTAATAGTATTCGTGGACATTTTGATTTGACACCAAAATGAGACATTTCTTAAGTTAAATTTACAAGGAATATTTCCTTCGTATGATAATCTGTCCATTTGAAGTGTGCAATTATCGAAATAAACAGCGGTAATTGCATTGCGAAAAAGGTTTGGCAGTAGTTTTTTACTGTTGACTTAGATATCAAATGTCTTCCAACCATTCCTAAGTTATTGAAGTCATATTTCACAAAATATATTTTAGAAATATAAGTAATAAAATGAAACCACATGTACTTTGTTTACTCAGGAAGTATTCATCAAAATTACACTCGTGCGTCAAAATAAACATATAATTTTGCATTCGAGCTTGTCTTATAAAAACTTCATTCGTTTATTTTCAGATATTGACACGAAAAGCTCTCCTCCTTCGGAATCGGTCTTTTTAAATATTTCCTGAGTAAACAAAGTAAATATGATTTAATTTTAGTACTTGTATTTAGTAAGTATTATATAAATAACTTCGGAATGGCTGGATGACATTTTATGTCTAATTCAACACAAAAAAACACCTGTCAAATATATTTCGTAATGTCAACGTCAATACCATCAATTATTGTAAAGTGATAATTGCACACTTCAAATGGACAGATTGTCACACGAAACTAATATTCCATGTAATTCTTTTGAGAACCTTGTATTGTTGAAACCTGCAAAACTAACCCAAACTAAATTTATGTTTTTTAGGTCCCCGAATCGATTTTTCATTGCGAAGAACAAAACCAGCATCGCCTGATCTAATGAAAGAAGCTTGTAAAAAAGCTAGAGAATTAATACCGCATAAAAAGAGGAATATTAGCATGGATGTGTTTGGCACAACACATGGACGAATTCATGTTGGAAAACAAGAAATCCTTAGAATCCAGACTCGCAAATTGAAAGGTCTGAAGAAGACAGGAGAAGAAAAATGGGCAAAACAAAAAAAACTTAAAGTTTTGGAAAAATAAAGTTTTCTTTTTTTTTGTAAACATGACTTCCATTTCCTGCTGACCTTTTGAAATTATTTGGCTTATAAAGTATTTTCGTACCTTCATCGTAAACGACTCTACACAAAATAAAATCAAACACTGCAGTCTTCAGGGTTTGTTTGGTCCACAGCCAATCTGGCTTCAAGAATTCTTAATAATTGTCATTGTCGATGATTAAGCAGGATCAGCTTCTCCTCCAAACGCCTCGTCGACATAATGGGCGCTTTACATGGAATTTATTTTTGATTAAAAACATACTAGAATACAAGTTTTGATACTTATAAATACACTGCAAGAAAAAGAAATTCCGAAAAAAGTATTCTGCTACCTAATGGGCTTTCAAATCTGATCACACTGACACGCGAATCCACTGATTGGTCTGACGTCACGTTACACGGTCGGCCTGCACGTAACCTGTGTGTTTTTAATACAAACCGATTGTTTACGTCCGTTGAACAGAACAGAAAGCCAAATGGTAAGCCATATCTGCTTACCATTTGGCAGTATTACATTAAAAAGTATTTCCTTTTTACAATTTTTTTCGAAGATGCTTGAAATATCTACTATTGAAAATCTGGAAAGATTTAGATTTAAAGATTGTTTTCCTAATCTAAATCTGAGAAGGAAAAGGTGATATTGGTATAGTAAAATGTAAAATTTGTCCAGTCTACAGTTTTTTTGAGTAATTTGATTATTATGATGGTGAACGAAGAAAAGAAACAAATAGTTCAGTTCAAGTTGGTGTCAGGATTTGCGGCATCGCAAAGTAAAAAGTGATGATCGGTAAGTATAGGTTTTTTATGGTTTATATAGTTATAGTTGGTTATAATTTATAATCACAGAAATAAATAATGAACAATATAGAGAGTATTACATAAAAAAATATAAGTTTGGTGCTTTGCGTATTATTGGGCGAGCACGTATAAAACGTGTTTATCTCTTAGTGTGAAACTTGACTAATCTCGAATTTAACACATGTAATGTTCATGTCAACAAAATCAGATATTTACCATAATCTGATAAAGTCGAGTTCAGCCATTTTGATATATTGTAAATAAACTCACTTTCTACCAGGAATACTTCTTCCGCAAGCACCATTAACTAACGTAATATTCGCATAAATAAATTACCCTAATAAAGCTACAAATTTAGTATATTTGTTTTCAGATTGAATAAAAAAACTTCTAGACTGGAGGCTAAATTTTGACCAGTCACTCTACAGAGAACATAAAAAAGTTTAAATTGCAAATATTTTTTTCTGGTGTAGCCACCGTAGTACTGCTTGCGTTAGGCTGGAAAATCAGGTTTGGTGCTAGCTAAACCTTAGTTAAGATACGAAGGTGCAATCGGTCGACAAAAAAATTGACATCGAGATCAGATCTTTATACATCGCGGATCTGACCCGACTCAGGGATCCGGATCCTAAAATGTACATAGAAACTTGCACTTAACAGTAGTATTTTACACTTTTTTTCAGTTCAATATAATTATTTTGAAACACAAAATATTTAACATAACTTTTCTGGTTTTGAAAATCTACTATACAAAAGAATCTTCACAAGAACTAGGGCATTTAATTTCGAACAATTCAGGACATCCATTATTTGTTTTTATTATTTATAATATCCATGCCATCCGGACTACAAGCCAAATATGGCCAAATATATCTATTTTTCATACATTCTACGATTGTATAGCTATTATATTTTTGAACTCTTGACTATTTTGTAAACTAAATAAAATATCTATTAGTTTCTTTAATTCCTGTTCTCCTTGTGTTTTTTATTCTTTGAATCACTTCTTTCTTAATTTGATATTTTTTTTGCATTCGCTTATTCAGTCAATGGACTAGCATTGCTTGAATGTTTTTGAGATTCTAGAGGGACACTGCGATAAACGTGTGGAATAAAACATGGTTCTTCATTTGAAAAAAGTGTCTTCATTCTGCATCCTTTTTGATATCTACTTCTCAAGTTGCTTATCAGACGGTTTATTCCAAATCATTGGCTCGTTGGTTTTCGAATAAGCATCTTCGGTATTCACGTATATACAAATATGCCTCCTTTGCAATTGCAAATCGTGTCTTTGATAGATCTTTTCTGGTTTAGCTAAAATATTACAGTGATTGACAACCATTTCATCAACAAACTAGCATATACATAATACAATTGAACAAGCGAGACAGAAATTTAAATTTATTTACACGTATGAAATGTTTCTTTATAGGTATTAATAATATTTATAAATATAGCTACATAATTACCTGAATTTCTAATTTATAAACATTCTCATAATTTTCTGTACTTGCCGATCCCGGTGTTTGTCACAAAACTTCACCCGTAATTTCATGACAATCGTTTTCGCTTATTTTTCTTGTACTTCACTTACGTGAAAACTTTCTAAAAAATTTTGGACTTTTGATAAGCTTTTCGTGCGAAAAATGCTCGTATCGACTAGCTCAAAACCTGATTGAATTATAATTACCATTTTTCAGCAAACAAGTACCTCCCAACTTGTCGCACAATGCAGTTAAAAAAGAGAGATTTTCCATTTCTCATAATGCAGGTTATAACCCGCACTACCTCAAAACTTAAAATAATATCCGGTAGATGGAGAAAGCGCCTCGCGCCAAAGATACTTACCTAGCGACATACAGTAATATTCATTGAGTCTTATGTAAGTACAGTTTCTAAGGAAAATTACAAGCAGTTTTTTAAAAAGGGGATGGGCAAGCCTTTTGTTCAAACAATGCTCAACCAAGCTAAATACCCGTAATTGTCAAAGCCCGTGTCACAACCCGTGAACTTCCCACTAAACAAAGCGATGTTTGCTATTTTCATATTCAATTGAGGGAACCGTTCAAAAAAGTATTTGAATTTTTCTCTTACATAATTTAATCTTCTCTTTATCTCACAGCTAGATGGTGTGATCGTATATCCGTAGGAAATTTATAACCTAAGTTTTGTGTGTACAGTAATATTTTTGTGGAGAAAAATACAAATTGAATTTAAGTTGCAACTAAATACGTTGAAAGCAACAGTTCATGTATTATTTAGTTCTATCAACTAAGGTATTTTTTGGATAAACCTGTTTTTTTGTACTAATCAAATATTTTTAGTTTGGATTTTGGAAGATTCCTGTGCCATTTTGGAGTAGTACAAACTAATATCAGTTAAAATATGAGACTCGTCCGTATGATTAATGCATCCACCGCAGTTTCAAATCGTCGCTTTTACACCAGCAAGGCAACTTTGGATCAAATCATTAGAGTTGATCATGCTGGTGAACTCGGGTTCGTTTACTTAAATATAAGCTTACCATTAATACCTTAATACTTAGTTAATCTATGATTAATACCAAATAGGTGATCATATACTTTATGTCTGGCGGATTTCGGCGTTCGTTTAAATTTTCCCTTAAAGTACACTTAAAATAAAATACATTCAACAAATTTTTTTTTTTACTAATTTTCTGTAATTTTTTTTGGAAAAATTGATATTATTTTACAACCGTTGAAATTTCGAACCCAGTTCATTTAACAAAATGACCTAAAAATCCGACAGAGAATCCAAAAATGTTATAATATACAGAGTGATCCATTTAAAATAAGCGAGTAATTACCTACTTCCGGTATAACCGGAAGTGGTACCGACTTGCAAATATTTTAGATGATTTAGCCCCAACATCATTCCGTTGTACTGAATCTATCGGAACTCTCATCTATAGTTTTGGTTTGGCAGATACTTTTAGCACGTAAGCCTCCAAAAATAGACCCTGGATATTACTTTATGAATACATGGTTTATCAAGTTTTGGGATGTATTCATCCTCCCTTTTAAGAATTAATTCTTAAATTTTCAGAAATATCAATGTAGTTTTGCTTTTAGCGCAGATAGAATATATGCAGGGCAAATGGCCGTGTTGGGAAGTACGTCAAAAGGGCCATTGATTCAGCATATGTGGGAGCAGGAGAAACACCATAGGGCTAAGTTTGAAGAACTTATAAGGAAGCACCGTGTTCGACCAACTGTCATGGCGCCTTTTTGGGATCTAGCGGCATTTGCTTTAGGCGCTGGTAAACAATTTAACTTCTCTCTCTCAATCAGTTGTGAAATAAACTGGGCACTGATGAATTGGGCAAGGTTATCCTGACAATTAAAATTTACTGCAGCAAATGGTTTAATGTGTCTAAATGGTTCACCATTGAACATTTCGCAAGCGGACATTTTTGAACAACGTCTTAAAATATTAAAAATTACCGCAATACGAGGATTTTATCGTCAAGAAAAAAAGTCGCGTCAGATCAGGTGTTCAGTGTGGCCATTGGGAGTCACTCAGCTGTATTATTGGGAAAAACTCAGGCCACGTATCATTGAAAAAATACGCCTAATTTTCATCGAAATTTATAACAATATCGTTCGAAATGTTGACCATCGCTTTTATAAGAAATACAAACTTTGTAAATGTTAAGGTGCGTCCAGACCGTAGCGCAATACCGCGCCAAACATTCGCGCCAAATTTCAAGAAACATCACTAATTAGGACGGTATCCTGTGTACGAACCCGCAAAGCCGAGCGACTTCGCTCGCGATCAAATATGTTCCGGTTGATGTCGGTACATCAAAGAAATGTTCGTGTTCGGGCAAATTTAGTTTGGACGCTAGTAGCAGTTTAATATTCGGGCTTGTGCGAATCTGAAGACAGTGAAAGACTGGAACCACGAAAAAATATTACCTCTGATAAATTTATATGAAAATCAGCGTGAAATATTTGAGGTCAAAATTACCACTTACGAAATAAAAAATACGATGCATGGCTGAAAATCGCAACAGAGATGCACAGGGACATAGAATCGATGAAAGCAAAAATGAGTTCATTGTTGTCTTCATTTGGAAGGGAAATAACCAAAATTAAAACTACAACAAGAACTGGACAAGGTATTTTTAAATATTACATTCACATAAACTTAAATTAAAAAACTTGATACATTTTAGGACAGAAGAACGTTTATTCCAGCAAATGGTTTGCATTTACTAGCTTTGCCTTTCTTATGAATAAAAATGAAGAAGCAGAAACCATCAACACTGAAACTGTAAGTATATTTTTAAATTAGTTTAATATAGTCTAAAAATCGCTAATGAATGAAAATAAAAGTAGATTTTTTTAAGCATAATCGTTTTGCCAAGCTACACTTCCACTATTTATAAAGTATTCTGCTATTTCGGTCCTAATTTCTTGAACACCCATTGCTGGCTTCCTTGGAACTTTTTTCAGTGGAAGGAATGATTTTACAGGTTGTTCTTTTCGCCAATTTCCTTCTATTATTCGTCCATTTTCCGCATAGTCCAGTGTTCCTCTAGGTGTGTATATGTTTTGTGAAACAACACTTTGCCGTAAAAAATTATGTAGGTAAAGAGTAATTAATACAACTAGGGCAGCTTACCACAGACAATTCCGAAAGCATTTTCTACTACTTTTCGTGCTCTCGACAACCTATAACTAAAAATTATTTCCAAAGAACTTTTTTTATGTAAAGCTGCATAGAGTTTCATGACGTATTCATGCAGCGCAAATGCATCATCACGCAGAATAACGTATGGTACAATTTTCTGTTGTCCCGGAAGAACTGCTGGCTCTGGAAATGCCAAACTGTCACCTACTATTTTTCCCCATAACAAACTGTTTTTAAAGACACCTCCATCTGAAATGCGGCCCTGATCTCAGTCTACATCCGCAAATACAAAATTAGAATTAGCATCTACTAATGCGAATAGTACGATACTAAAAACTGATTTGTAATTGAAGTATTCACTACCGCTGCCTACTGGAGCCTGTAGAACCACATGTTTACCATCGATTGCACCTATTTAATAAAGTTAATATGTGTCAATAACTATGATTTTTACTCAAAAAAGATGTTCTCACCTAGGCAATGAGGAAAATTCCACTGCTGGTCAAATTCATTCAAAATTTCTAACCAATGCTCAGCAGTAGCGGGCGTCTGTAAGAGATAACTTAAAATAAATAAAGAAATTAAATAACAAATTTTATAAATAAAACAAATTAAATCCACTTATTAAATTTAGAACTCTATTTTTGTATTAATGTAAATTAAATGGAAAAATTTTATGAAAATTAATTTCTGTACAAACAAAAAAATTATTAAATGGTTTATTTTTAGGTTTCAACTGATGTTAACGATTTTGAAGCTGTAAGCGAGCATGAGTCAAAGATGGACATTTCGCAAATTATAGAATACATAACCAACGAAACTGGAAATTTAGAAAAAGACCTAACGTCCACAAAATATCCCCCTATGGGGTATGTTCTATGCTAACGTCCAATCAAGCCGCTAAAGAGACATCCACTGGCAAACGCAAACTGTTTACATGTCCACAAAGACGAGTAAAGAAAAAGGTAGAGCAGGAAGATCCGAGAATATCAGCTGCATATGAAATACTTAAAAATACGTCGATTCCAAAGGATGAATGCTTCACATTCGGTCAACATATAGCGACGAAACTACAAAAATTTGATAGTAGGCTTCGCGCTGTTGTTATGCATTCCATAAGCAACACAATTTTTGAAGCTGATATGATGGAAAGATACAATAATTATACTCCAACACCATCGCCTAATTTTTCTACCAGTTATTGTCAATGCAATCAGTCGCAGGAATAGTCTAATCAGGAGTTAAATGTTATAACTCCGCATCAACCTGATCGTCTCCTTTACAAACATAACAACTTTACATACAGCAAACATTTGATGTTGTTAATATTTAATTTTAGTTATTCAAAAAAACAAAACTAAATTATTTCTTACCTTAATATATTGTTTCAATCCTTCTGTTAAAGCTTTACAGACTTCTAGAATTATTGTAGAAATACTTTGCTTCGATATTTTAAAAGTATACATTAAACTGGCATATGAAACTCCAGTGGCTAAAAACCCAAGCGTCACAGCTAGTCGTTCATTGATGGGGATAGCCAGCCTAAAATTGGTATTTTGCTTCTGAATTTTAGGACCGATAATATTTAATAACAACTCAAAATCGCTTGAAAACACGCGGCAGAAATTTTTAAATTTTCCAGTATCGTCAATTGCCAGGTCGCATAGCAAATCACTGCCACTGTATAAGCTTAAATACAAACATTTTTAATTATTGCTGCAGCAATGTGGACGCAAGTCGCAAATTGTGTGTGAACGTTCGCGAATGTTTGGCGCGATATTGTGCCGCGGTCTCGACGCACCTTAAGGAAACGTTTTTTTTTTACAAGAGGCAAACTTTTAAGCGAAAATTATAACAGTAAGCGTTAAAAATGATGTCAATTAAGAATTTGAAGTTAAATAAGCCCCTATAAGAAGAGATGTTATTACGATAAATATGTGTTTAGCGCTAAAAATATGTTCATAACTAGTATTTCTGATATTCGGTTTACAATATGTAGGTACAGCCTTACTAGGTGAAAAATCCGCTATGGCCTGCACGGTTGCAGTTGAGACGGTAATTGTTGAGCACTACAATGACCAGCTGAGAACTCTATTGGAGGATCCAGAATGTAACAAAGAATTAATGGAAGTTATTACAAAGTTTCGCAATGAAGAACAAGAACATCACGATACAGGTAAACTTCAAGCATTTGACAAAAGTGTAAACAAACCGAACTAGGCATTTCTGAATGCCAAGCCATCATTGTTCAAATCATCGGTTGCATAGCCTCTTAAGTCTTAGTTATTTATATTATTTAAGTCAGTCATTCCTAAACGAGTATATTAAGCTGAATATGTTACAAGTTCTTAATTAAACATTCATCTTTTATGTTAACTTTTTCCTACTGTTTTCAATATTTCGCATTTGAAAGATTTCCTTTCATTGCGGGTTTTTCCGAATAATGAATTTGGAACCCGAGTAACATAAATTCGAATTTATAGAATTACAGTCGATTAACATGATGAACATTTTCTATTTAGGTAAAATATATTCTTGTTAAATCTTTACGAAAAACCATAGCGGCAACTATACACCCAGGCAGATAGATATTGGTTGACAAACAGGTTAAAAGTTCAGAACTTAGAATGTACCAGGTTTTCGTAGCATGTAATATTTCAAGCAGGCTACACCCATAGATTAACTACATCTACACGGGCTCCACCCGACGGTCTACAGGGTTTTCCACCCGGAACCGCCGCGATCGATATCTTCTTGATGTGCCATGTCCTTCTAGGACGTCGGCGATCTTCATTATGATTTTTATTTTATTAGCAGCGGCACGAAACAGACGTGTAGAATCAACACCATACCACTCGCGTAGGTTTTTCAGCCAGGACGTGCGTCTTCTTTCTGGACATCTTCTTCCTTGGATTTTGCCTTTCATGATATTCTGCAAGATACGGTACTTTTCACTACTTACTTTTTAAATTTGACAGTGTGCGATAGTCATGGGAGGCAAGCGATCTAAAATATTTTGAAGATGATCAAACTTCCGGTTATACCGGAAAAAGATATCAACTTGCTTATTTTAAATGGAGCACCCTATACAGGGTGTCGCAATAAGGATGGTTAGCGGCGGTATCTTGGAAAGTATGTGTTGTAGAGTGATCGGAAAAAAAAATTTATAACAAATTTGAAGAAAATAATTTGCTGGAAATTACTTTGTAATTTCTCAGATGACCGCTAGATGGCGTAATTGCAAACGGTATTTTAAAAAGTCGGTTTTATACAGAAAGTGTCCCGATATGTGCAACATATCGTAAGTTTGGTCAAAAGACCATAAATAACCGTACCACTTTCTTTATGATATTTTTTTCTAAGTTGTCAAATAAAGGGTGGGGGGAGCCAAACCGCTTAATTCAAAGAAACCTGTAACTCCGAAACGGATCGACCGATTTCAAAGTTTTTACTATCAATTGAAAGAGCAATAAAAACTTTACAATATGTGAAATAAAAACATGTTCGAAAAATCCGCTGTTCGAAAAAAATTATTTGTTTTAATTTTTCACAAAAATTTCAAATGCTACTATCAAATTATTTTACACGCATTCCAAAGCACAGGAAAAAATGAACCAAACCGCAAAAACTGCATCTCAGTAGAGTAGAGATAATTTCTGGAACCTATTTAATACTTGAAAATAATAAGGGTTGCCTAATTCAAATAATTAAAGGAGGCTTTGGAAGAAAAAAATAGAACAAATTATATTTGACATTATTTGACATTTTGTGTTATTATTTGTCAGTAAGTTACACTCTAAAATGAATTTCTCCAATTCTGAAATTTTCGATATGTTGAAAATTTATTTTCGATCTTTTGAAAATGCATGTTAGACAGAACGTGAGTATGCTAATACATACCCTGGTAGAAGATTTTTTGAGAGATGAACAATTAAGCGGCTAACAAAACGGTTTCGTGAAACTGGTAGTGTGAACGCCGTACGTGGTCCTTTACCAAGAAAAAGGGCAAGGACTGAGGAAAACGTTATTAGCGTTTTAGCTTATGCACAAGTCAATCCGCAGTTAAGTATAACACAAATTTCTTTACACCTTGGAGTAACAAAAAACACCATTCATCGCATCTTAGCTGACAATAAGTTTCATCCATATCACCTTTTTTTGCATCAAGCACTTTTCGAGATGGATTATGATGCACGATAAAATTTTTGTAACTGGTTAAAGCAAATATACACAGAAAATAATAAGTTTTTATCACGCATTTTGTGGACTGATGAAGCCACTTTTTGCAATACTGGATCAGTGAACTTGCATAATGCGCATTATTGGTCAAGCGAGAATCAAGTTGATGAGACAAGTTGATCGTCAAAATAGGTGGAAAGTGAATGTCTGGTGTGGCATTGTTGAAAGCAAAATAATGGGACAGCTTAAATATCATGATGCTCAATGATATATAAGCTGTGATAATAGGTCCAACGAGTGTCTAAATGGAGATAATTATTTCCATTTTTTTACAAATGAAATTAATGGACTGTTAGAAAATGTCTCACTGGAGACAAGAAGAACCTTGTCGTTTCAACAAGATGGATTTCCTGCTCACTATTCAAAAAATTTACGCAACCATTTAGATAGAACTTTTCCCAACCGCTGGATAAGAAGAGGTAGTATATTCCCATGGCCAGCAAGATCTCCAGATTTAACTGTGCTGGATTTTTATCTTTGGGGAAGATTAAAAGATATACATAGTATACAAAACTGTTTTCACAACTCGGGCAAATATGATAGGTCGCATCACACATGCCATCCATAGCATTCCACAAGCCGAAATTGAATGTGCGGTATTTGGCACTAACCGCGGGATAGATATGTGTGTGACGAATGACGGAAAACATTTTGAACATTTATTAACTTATCGTTTATTTTAGTGCTACAGCATAGTGTTATACATGTGTAAACTTTTTTTTTCTCCTTTTTAATATGAGTACCTACAGTTGTTTTGTTGAAAAAAATTCATGTAAATAAATTCTAGAAATAAGTTTCTAAATAATTTCGAAATGTGATTTCGGTGGTTCATTTTATTTTTCCCGCTATTTCCAAACTTACTAGATGTTTCACTTATTTAAATTAGGCAACCCTTATTATTTTCAAGTATTAAATCGGTTCCAGAAATTATTTTGAAATGCGGTTTTTGCCGTTTGGTTAATTGTGCTAATCCTGTGCTTTCAAATGGTAAAATAACTTGATGGTAGCATTTGAAATTTTTGTGAAAAATTAAAACAAAGAATGTTTTTCGAACAGCGGATTTTTCGAAAATGATTACGATTACGTTTTTATATCACATATTGTAGAGTTTTTATTGCTCTTTCAATTGATAGAAAAAACTTTGAAATCGGTCAAGCCGTTTCAGTTACAGGTTTCTTTGAATTAAGCAATTTGACTCTCCCCCCACCCTTTATTTGACAAGTTAGGAAAAAGTTCATAAGGAAAGCAGTTCGGTTTTTGATGGTCTTTTGACTAAACTTACTAGATGTTTCACTTATCGGACCATTTCTGTTTAAAATCGACTTTTTAAAATACCGTTCGCAATTACGCCATCTAGTGGTTATCTGAGAAATTTCAAAATAATTTCCAGCAAATTCTGTTCTTCAAGTTTGTTATGAAAAGTATCGTTTTTGTTAAATTTGAAATTTTATGTAAAAAATGACAGTTGCCACAGAAGCCACTCGAATAATTATTCATTTTTCCTATAAGGGAATATGTGCTACTTAATGTGAGTCGCATTTCTTGTTGAAAAGCTCTTACTTTAATGGCATTTCGACAACATTTTGATAGCCATTAATACAAAGAGTTAAAAAAATTTGTTTCAAAATCGCTCCAACGATTTTTTTGTCGTGCACAATTTTCAAGTTTCTCCTAATTATAGTTTGCTAGACTTCGAACGCGGCGGTTTCCGGTGTGACACCCTGTATTACTTTGCACATTAGCAGTACAGTACAGACAAACATTAATACGCATGCTGAGAAAGTTGCGTCTGCTTTCGATCAAAAATAAAAAATATAAAGTATACATATAATAGAATGTGGGTTCTTTGTTTTAGGCATTGACCAAGGAGCCGAGCAAGCACCTTATTATAAACTACTTTCGGAGGCTATTAAATGTGGGTGCAAAACAGCAATCGCCATTTCCAAAGTGATTTAATGGTCAAAGGGCTACCAAATAGACAACAATATTATTGTGAAATTATTAATTTATAATAATAAATATATTTTCTTGAGAGGTGAGTGATGTTATAAATGTGCTATGAAACTATGCACAAAAAAACCGTGAAAATTACTACCGGGGATCTTACCCTCTTATGACTGGAACATAAATAAAAACTTATCTTTAATATTGAGACAGAAATGAAAAGGGTCTTCTAAAATTCAGAAAGTACCTGACACCTACGATGAATTTACTGATGCCATTTATTTTTCATTAATATTTGAATAAAGATTTTTTAAGGCTATCGAAGACAGTCCTCAAGAAAGTGCACCCTTGGGCGTTACGAGGGTTTTAGGTACACAAAAACGACGCCACGCCGACCGGCCATTTGTTGTGGCTCTCGATTTTGGTGGATTGGTCTGGGGCATCTCTGCCTCAAGTGGCTGAAAAATTAGGCCACTGTGGAAAGCGATTGTGCGCGATTCAGGTACGCCAGCTAAAGACAAGATTGACCATCATTTTTTTTTGTTTTTGTGGGTGTTGGTTTTTTTCTTGGAAGAGACAATAAACCGAATGAGATATACCAAACCAAAATGTGTAGCTGGCGTCTCTATTGCGCAATAAGCATTTATTTTTATTTAATCTTTTTTTCTGTTGTGACGTAGATCCCCTCTCCATTCGCTCGAGTTGCGAGCGAATGGTAATTATGGAGATTCTCCCGGAACGGAAATTACTACCCTGTCTCTTCATATTGGACAAGTTGGTGGATGCGCCAAAAATCAAAAGTAAACGGAACGTTTATCACGCTGAGGGATGCCATATACTTATTTAGGGTAATACCACAGCTTATATATCATGATATTTACGCTGTGGTAATACTCCCCTGAAATAGCATATTTCCCTTCGTTTATTGTTTGCCCAGAATGAACGAAAAAAACAAGCAGCAGCAAGGCACAACAAGCAACGGAAAGAACAAAAAACTATAAGAACTTAACTAAAATAGCAAGAACACTAATTATAAGTTTTTGGCTCGCTTACCTTTGTCGCGCATAATAGGGTCGTTGCACAAAAAATTTTTTAGGTTGAAACTTCTCCCAAACATAGCGTGAGGGTTGTTTAGAAGAATGCCTAAAGCAAATTTCTAAAAACTTTACTTACTTTACTTACTTACTACTATCTTTTAATACAAAAAAAGGGTGTGAAAGTTACCAGATTTGCTTGTAAAATGACGTCACGCGAGAACGTTGTTTTACTGGCTGTGACGTAGAGTGGCACAAATCATACGCTAGTTATATACCCGTAACTAGCAGAATGTACACTTGCATTTAGGTCATAATAAATATAATTTATTATGCCATCTGGGTTTGACGATATCGATACTCTGACCATGTAAGAGCTTGTTTGACTGGATCTTCTGGCTTCTGAATTTAAATTTCTAAACAATCGATTATGGCGTAAACTTTACTTTATAACGAAAAGGTATAGGTTTTAGATGTTTTCTAACTTTATTAAGTGGCATCCAGACTATTAAACTCGTTAATCTCTCATTATGAATTTTATTAAGCATCTCGCTAATTAATGGAAGGGATTTTGCAAAAATTCTACTCGTACTTACCGAAAATTCAAAATCATCACCTATTTCAGCAAGTTTTGTGAATTCACATTTTTTGAAGAACTAGGTAAATATTTACAAGACCCAATTTTGTAGTCTCTCTAAGTAGCATAAATAAAGCTTTATTTATACCCAGGTATAATCTTGCATCTAAAGCGTCTAAAGCGCCATTTATAATGTTAAGTCTATTACGTTTCAAAAATACGGCTCGTACAGGAGCGTCACTACTTCATTTTCTGCCTTTGGCACACAAACTTATGTGGAACAACATCTTTTTGATTCTTTTCTGAACTCCCATCATTTTAAACTCCATAACATTTTCCATGTATTTTTCAAACTGTGAAATAAAATAAACAAAAATTGCACATAATGAAGCAGATGTGAAGCCTAAATCTACCGAACACACAGGGTTATGAACCCTATAAATATTATTGCTTTTATGCGAAATTACATCGAAATGATCCTCACAGGCATGGATGTTACTTTTGCAGAAAGATCGGTGCAGTTTCGCCGCGCTGCTTTCAACCACAATTTCCATTTTTTTTTATTCAATGGCACTTTCACAAATGTTTTTCCTGGTGCAGACGTAGTAGTACTTGTACACTGTGGCACCATACAGTACTTATAAGCCATCTTAATTTCAATAATTGAGAAACAAGCAAACCAGCACACAATATTCACATTAGAGTATGGAAACACGTATACGACATGGATACGTACACGACAAAATGTAACAACTTTTTGAAATTTTTAAATAAAATAATTTATACTTTGAAAACGGTTGACTTCACAGCTTACAGTGTAAATGCAAATTTGTAACTTTGTAAATTGTCTATCTAATGACGTATTAATATACAGCTACTTCCATTTGAAAAACAAAAGTTATATTGCGCTAAAAAGTTTTAGATTGGAGTCCACATTTTTAACACCCTGTACAATGTATTGATATTTTGGTTCAATAGAATTCTTCACGGATCTGTGGTGATTGGAAAGACGTATTTTTTGTATATTTAATGGCTTTTTTTTGCTTCTAAAATGAATTTTTAGTTACTATGTTTTTAAGCAAAATTTTAATAAATTGGCAATAATCTGCCAACGTCGCAAGTAAGAAAAAAACAATTTACGGTGCACATGCAGCGTTTCAAGCTGCATTCTATGAGCTAATGAAAAATGGGTAGTTCTATTTAAAAAGGACACTTTGCTCTTGCCTCGCTTTTCTAAGTTCAACACCATCGGAAATAATGGACTCTATCGCACTGAAAAACCACCCTGTATATACTTTTTTTAATAAAGTTTTCAGAATATTCTAATTATAGTACTACTATTTTTGTTTTAGATATACAGATAACGATCTCGATATATTGTACAGTGTTAAGTTACGGTGTCGGTTGTGAGATAGGCGACTGCGACTTGGTGCTGCGTTTGGGTGATGCGTTTATAGCCGCAACAGATCAGTTCAAGAGATCAATTCGCGAGATATATTTGAGGAAAAACTGTTGAAAAGATGGACTATGTCAAACTTTTAACCATTTTAAAACTGTCAACTTTTTATTTTGTTAGAAGATAAAAAAAGGAGAACAATACCTTTAAAAAATCCTAATACAATTTACTTAGCATTTTTTCCCATTGATGGGGCTATTTTTCTCCATCCATCTTCTTTTTCTTCAAAAATTTTTATCTTCGTAATCATAAATCGATGGGTATTTTCGCACTTCTTAATTAAATTGTCATTCTCATTCGCTAAAAAGCGAGTAATTTTTCCAAACTCGCAATTGCGACTGCGATTTGTCTGGTCCGTCTACCAGTTGAATGGCATTAGCTGCGACTCGATGCGCCGCTTTCCAAGTCGGAACGCACGACCGAAACTGTTTACGTTTAAATTACATTAAAGGAGTAATTTGCGTTAAGCCGCCAGTAGCAGTCGTACATAGATTTGCAGTAGCACGCAGATTTCAACATACCACAAAGGTATGTAAAGAAGGCATCAAAAAGCGTGATATGCAATTCAAATAATAATTCTATATTGGTATATCTATCTATATGGTATATTCGAGATATGGAAAATACGTTAGAGAAATTTACTGAAGCCGATTTAAGAACGCGCTTTGGTTTCTCAAAAATTGTGTAAAATGTTTCGTTGCCATTAATCAGTCACTTGGTGAAAAATTCAAGTTTTATGTATGATGTGTTGTTGAAATAATAATAATAAACAAAGTTATTATTGCATAATATTGTTAGAAAAGAGGTTTCAGAATCAATTGGTTGATTTTCTCAACGTTAATAACGGCTTTCACCGCTTTTTAAAGAAAAATTTGTTATTTTACGATTTATTTAAGAACTTTTATCGGTAAATTAATGATGTCACTGTGAAATGCAGGTTTATCCCTCGAGGTATGACTAAGAACTGTAAAGTGATATGTGTGGTCCCTGTTCTTATAGGGCTGTGAAACATGGACGGTGAAGCTGGGAAAACTCCGGAAATTGGACGCCTTTGAAATGTGGATATACAGGCGAATGCTCCGTATACCATGGACTACCAACACAACAAATGCGGCAGTTTTAACTAAAATGAATACCCGCCATCCTCAGTTAACAAGTATCATGAAGATAAGAAAAACAGCCTATCTGGGACATTTGATGCGGCACGAGGAGTCCGAACAACTAGAAGTGGTACTAGAGGGAAAGATTGAGGGTAAGCGAGGCATGGGGAGAAAGAAAAAGTCCTGACTGAGGAACATAAGAGATTGGACAAACATGGATGGTAATACCCTGATCCATCGAGCCCAACATAGAGGAGAATTAGCCATAGTGGTCGCCAACCTCAACAGACACGGCACCTGAGAGGAGAATAATATCACCGCAAAAACGGTTAGCGGAGCCACCAGAATAGCGATATTGCGCATGCTAATTCTATGGGAGACTCGTCGGAGATTCCATCTAACGAAGAACAACTTTGCATCAAAGACCCGTCGCTGTCGGGTCGACGGCGGCACGCTCAACTCTCCGGCATAGTGCCGAAGATCAACTATACATATCCGCGTAAGAGTACCGCTTCATGGGGCAGCCCGGGTATAGACTATACATGCATTTTCAAATATTGGACACTTTCCTGAAGATACATATATGTAAAAATTACCGACCATTTACATAATTACTAATTACAAGAATTAATAGATATTATTGACACAGGTATTTGCTCTATTATTCATAAATATTAATATAATTATTAATAAAGTAAATAAGACACGACTTATTTATACTCAGATAATTTATTCAGATAAGAATATTCATATACTTAGGTAAAATTTGTACATTACAAATTGGTACAATAATGGTAATACTTAATAAAATATATATTTATATATACAGGAAAACGCTACTTTAAAATAATTACAAAGACTTCGTGAACGCTAGACGTTGATTTTGCCTTAAGAGATAGTAATTTTGAGTTGGTCTTATTTCGTAACATTATTATGATATAAAATTTAATTACCATAAAAGATGCTAAGAAGGCTGAATACAATATCGGAATGTTTCGTTCGAAAAGTGATTGATAAATATGTAGATCATTTTCAATGATAACTGCGATCACAGATTTTGATAATATCACTAGAAATAAATAAGGTATATGATTGCTTATATATGTTTACCTTAATTCGTTAATTCCAGTTCAACAAACCGAAACGCACATATAGTTACATTTAGTACGTATCACTTTTCGTGTGATTTTTTCAGGAAGACAAGGCAATTATTAAGTCTATTCAAATTCTTGATCGATAGATCAATAAGGGGGTTTATAGTTGATGGTATGTTTAGTTATAAGTACTAATCAAGACACAATCTAACTTTCTTTTAAGAGCATTTCTACCTACGTTTTGATAACTAGTAACGTTTCACTAATAAATCTTCTAAACTTGTCTACGGCACGAACACATTTGCAGGCTAAAACACATATTCTATCTTATATCTAAAATATTACGAACTTTCGTAAATTATGTTGACTATATAAATAGGTACACAAGCCTTATATAAATAGATTAAGTCGATGATAAAGTATTGTCAAAATGTTAAGTGAAACATCACATGATGGATATGGAACATACATATTTTTTTATTGTAATTTCTGCTCTTTACCCAAACTCAAAAAGAGCTCGTTTTTTTTTCTGTAGATTCAGAAAATTAACGTTTAGTTCAAGGTTTTGGAAGAGAAATTTTGTACTTTTATAAACAAATAAGACATTTTAAAGCTTGGTAAAGATACCAGATTTTGGTCTGTCATCTGCACCCCAACCGAAAAAACGCCTGAAATCAGTATACAACGATGTAGGAAAGTGACATAATTTTATGCACAGATAATATAAGCCAACTGCACCGGACCGCGCCCAGGTTCCTTCATCAATTTGCCTTTAAAGCACAAGGAAGTACAAGATTTACCACCTGATGAGTACTAACAGTTTAAAAACCGGTCATATGGGTGAGTACAGGAGATACTTCTCACTTCTACTACTCAGTTTTCGAAAAAGTGAATGAAACATGTCAGGCATTTGTTTCATATTGTTCTGATATGCAATTATGCTGTAAAATGTTCATGATCCATGAACGAATGAATGAATGTGTCATGGATAAATATGGAGTTAATAATTTGGCTCCTAATCTTTGTAGTACATAATATAATTTGTATTAATTTTACCTAAGATTATTTTCATCAGAGTCCGAACTGCAAAGTCAACTTAATTTTTAAGCTAATTTTTGAAAAATTGTTTTGTATATTGAATCAAAAGATTTCTAAATTTATAGTTTCGAGTTAAATATGCTACCAAAAAGTGAACAACAATAAATAGTGAATCGGCAGTCTAAAGATTCGATATATCCCAAAGAAATCAAACATTTAATCTAAATTACTAGCTTGCTAACAGCAGCATGATTGCAAAATCGTTCATAGTGTTAAATTTTCTGACGACTTTGGCCGCCTTGTGTATGTTAAAATTTAAATCGTCCATAAGAACGAAATCAGCATAAATCAAAATGTTATTAACGTATCAAAATGGATCTACTGAAATGGAACTGGTCAATAATAATTTTGGTAATAAACAATAATTGAGGAAAGTCGAAAAAACGAAAAATTTTCACCTCGATTGCATTACATTTTAAAAATCATTTATTGGCATATAACCGGCGATTTGTGGTGTAGTAGGCCGTAATTTCCACGCAGGCATAGACGACTTCTGTCAACGCGCCTATATGCGACTTCGACCGGGAAGTATTTAATTGCGATTTGCGGTGTTCAGAGAAGGAATGACAGAAGAAATAAAAAAAACGCTCTTTCGTGTTTTTCTTCTAAAATACGCAGTTTTGTTTATATTTGCCAACCAAAAAATATTTTTCAATTCTTCATTCAGATGGCAAAAATACCGCTCTATTGTTTTTCTGCTAAATTTCTACTTTCTGAAAAATAAAAATTAAAAATCGGCACAACAAATTCATTTGAAACAAAAGTCATGCAGGCGAAACTCTGCACTCTTTTCGTACCAAAACCAACTGTATTCTCCACATAATTTCGGTTTAACTTTGCTGAATGCGCCTCACGTTGATCAACCCAATGGTATTTTGCAGATATTTGAAACCGGTAGAATTGAGCTTCGACGCCTTTGTTTCCGTTGGAGAGGCTTGGCACAATTATCACCACGCCTTCTCTTGGGACTACCGGGCGGCCGAATTGGGCTCCAAATACAGCATTACCACTTTTGTCATCGGACGCCCTGGCCTACGACCTCAAATCCACCCCCATCACATGGTGAAAAGGTGAATGTTTTACCCAAATCCCCCGTTATTTGAACGCTCAAATTTGGCTTGGATTTAGGAGAATCGAGCGCACCGACGATGGTTCGCATCCCATCTTCGGCCCTCATGCCGAAAAGCTAGAGTCGACCGGAAAACTGGATGATGTGGATATTGCGGACATTGTGAATAGTAAAAATTAGGGCTGCCTACAACTCAAGGGGAGAACCGATGGAAGTTTTGAGTGATTAGATTGAATTGGACTTAAGTACAATAAAGTACATTAATTTCTATGTGGCGGTATACGCAATGAATGGCCTCCTACCGCCCGGGAACCAGTCAAAACCAGGGCATAAGCCTCTGACCTATTTACCGCTTGGTGCAGGCTCAAATGGTCGTTTATTGGGAAAAGTTCACCATTTATTTTTTTTAGCTCTAGTGTAGTTTAAGTGGTTTACACCAAAATATTTATATTGTTTTGTGCGATTCTTATGTGATGTGCGATAGTTATTTAAAAAAAACGATAAACGATGACATTGAGCACTTTTATTGTGATTTAAACATAGAGAAAACAATGCAGTCAATTCGTTTCAAGCATCAAGCATCTACACTCTTTATGGGCCACAAATTGGTTATTAATTGCAACGTTTGTATAAAGCATTTCCCAGAAAACGCACAAAGATGTGATTTCATGCAAACATACGGGGTGGTTCAAAATTGGGGTCATATCTCTGGGAGAGCTCACCCTGTATACCTACGGGGTTCTATAGAAGAAGCGCCGTAAGAAAATTTAAGATTCTGGATGTAAAACTGATACGAATTGCCCAAGAAATAAGTAGGGTTTCTCCGCAAATTGCTAGAAACTGGTGAGCTCGTCGGGCTTAGCCACGATGGAACAAAATGTGAAGCCAAAGTTTTGCAAGCATTGCAGATTTACTTCTTCAGGCAAACGTTGAAAGGCAACAACGGAACTCCGGATAAACTATTCAATCTGGCCTGCGTAAGTGACTCGTGCTTGCGAAAAAACCTCGCGAGTTTCAACTATGCAACAAGATCCGCTGTTCTAATCGAAAAAGTAGTTTTGAAAACACCAACCTCGGAGAAAAGGAGCAAATAAAATCGCATCAACTTTGTTGAACTGGTCAAATTTAAGAAGGCGATAACTTGATGGAAACGTAGCGTAAATAACCACAACAATCCGTTCAAAAGTGCGTCGTCAATCATCTCGTACTTAGAGGAGCCGCCTGGCGCGTAGCGATAACTATGGAGGAAACTAAAAGCTTTCCTCAGACCGAAGCGCCAACCAACAACGAACGAACGATATACGAACATTCTGCCATTGTGGCTTTTTAGTGCGATAGAGTCCATTATTTCCGATGGTGTTGACCTTTGTACAGGGTGTTAACAATGTGGACTTTTAACGCAATATAGCTTTTGTTTTCCAAATGGAAGTACCTGTATATTAATACGTCATTAGATAGACAATTTACAAAGTTACAAATTTGCATTTACACTTGAAGCTGTGAAGTCGACCGTTTTCAAATTATAATTTATTTTATTTAAAAATTTCCGAAAGTTGCTACATTTTGTAAGGTGCTAATTAACTTTTATATGAAACAATTTTTCGAAAGTTCAACACCAACGGAAATAATTGACGCTCTCGCACTGAAAAACCACCCTGTATATAATTAATAAACGTAATTTTTCCTTCTAACACCCTTAACAGCTGAACTGATCAAACCGGAATTAAGTTATTCAGTTGGCTTTAGTCAGGGACCACTCATATCACCCTGACGTGAGTGGCAGATGCGTGAGAGTTGGATTTGAGATGAGTTACGTATGAGTATGGTGATCTTGAATTCGGGCCCTTCACCCTTAAGCGACAGCGATACGAGGCGCGATTAAAAAATGTAATTGCCTGCCTCGCTTCGGCTCACTATAATGCGTGTACTGATTAGTCCAGTCATACCAAACCCGACAAAATTATCACTATAACCGATTTAAAAGGCTTAAAATGATTTGTCCTACTTGCATGATGTAAAAAGTTTTCACAAAGGAAATGAGACAGATTAGTCATGGCAACAGAGAAGTTGAAAAAATTATCGAGTACTAATGTTCATGATCTACTTCAAACTGCCGCCTTTTATGCAATTCGCATACTAGCTCATACACGCGAACCGACGATGCCAAAAAGTCGTTATTACTTAGTAAAGCGTATTTTTTTGAAAAAGTGGATTGGCAAATCTATAAAAAAAATAAAAACACATTGTAACAGTTTCATTCTTGGGATGTACTCAAATTTCACCTCGACGTTGGAGATTCTAAAATCAAAGCTCCAGCTAGCTGTGAAAAGATTACGGGTTAGTCAGACGTACTATCGATCCACAACTGTATGTACACTTAGTAACAAAGACCAAAATTTAGTGAAAAAAAGGCATAATACAGTAAAAATTAATTATCACAAACAAACATAAAATCAAGACAGAGGTGTTGAAAACAGCAGAACGTTGTTAAAAATCAAATAAGGACCTACTTCACGAAGTGGTGTTAATTCATTTAAATAAGTGTAGTATTGTATGAGCTCAACCTTCGAAAGGAAACCATTAACACCAATAAATTAATAGGCCCTTATTAATGTCGTTAGAAAATCTGTAAAAAAGCATATTAATAGGGGTTGAACAAGCAGAAATTCTACTTTATGAAACTACTTTATTCGAAACTGCTCAACTACAAGTGCATTTGCGACATCAAAGACGCGCTACACTACACATGGAAATACATACTACTCTAAGAACTAATAACTATAAATCCTTACACAATACTTGTAATACTACAATAATATTTAAGATATTATATGCCAAACAGCTAAACATTAGGTCAAACTAAGTAACAAGTTAGTCATTAGGGGGGTAATATGAGTACCTAGGATACCGTCATTTTCTCAAACTCTAATTTCAATTGTTGGAAACACCCTCTTTTGCCTGAAAGAAAAGCGTTTATGTATCATAATTAATAATCGTTACAAAAATAGAGGGTTCATTTTGCCTTCAAAACATTTTTTATTGCTTTTTAACTCCATCAGCACACAATGACCAATACTTTACAAATATACTTGTGAGTGTAATTGGCCATATTATGTTCCATCGAAGTTATTCGATTATGAAGTAACACTATTGTAATAAATATTTGGCACTCTGACCTCAACTCTTTCTTTCGCTTAGGAAAAATAAAACATAGATGAATCACAATACGACCTGGAACAACCAATTCAATAATTTCAACTAACTGAAGGAAGAGAAAGTTGAAAATGGCTCTTACAAAAAAAGGGATTGTGTTTCTTCATGTATTTTCACTTTCCCCTTTTGGTTCAGATAAAACGACCTATGACCGCCTAATAACTATCACAAGGCTTAGTCAATCGCTGATCAACAGTTACTCTGAGTATTTGAGATATCGATCTCTCAATGAGAAGTCAATATTTGAAATCGGTCTCTAAAAATAGAATAACTATTAGGAGCTAAACAGTCTATGGGCAATGACAATTCCAGTAAAACGTACATATGTAATGTCCACTATTTATTTTAAAATATCCCAGTTGATACCGGTTCCCAATTGCTCTTAGTTTGCATGCGCTACAACTGCCGAGTTGTAGCTCGTGACGGTTGGTCCGCAAATCACAAATATCGACAACAACATGTCAATGAAACTATGCATGAAATATTGAGCTATAACTGTTGCTAATGTTATATCTAATAATACTACTTTTAACAATTACGAATATCTCTTGAGCAGATCGAGTTGCAAAATAAGAAGACATAGTTGAGATGAAACATTGAAGTTAAGCAGGCTCCCTAAACAGTTTTCCTTGTAATAACGCTTGGGTATAAGTCCAATTATCGTGTAATAGATATACGTTTCTATAATAGTAATAGAGAAACATATATCTATTACACTCTAACGAACAATATACAGAAAAAACTAACTACGAAATACTAGGTAAAATGATCGCCAAAAAGTACGCATGTAATTTTAGAGGTAATGTATACTACTCGCAGACAGTATAAGCTCTGTGGCCCACTTGTTTGTTGATCAAACGTATTTAATTTTTTTCTTCACGCAAACCCTATCGCTTCTAGGATACCAAAACTATCCCAATCGTGTTTATGTTAAAAAAAATATATTAAATAGCATTTTACGGCATTACCACTATGTAAATTGTGCCACGCAACGGCATATATAAACTTTATTGATTACTTTTCATTTAATAAAAATTATTTATATTTTATAGCAAGGTTATATTTGGTTTCTCAATTTTCGAGCAATAAACAAGATATTTCATGCAATATTTTAAGAACTTTTGCCACCGATTTCGTTTAAAAAGAAAATAATTTTATCAAAAAAAAATTGTGAATTATCAATGGATTAAAAGTACACAAAAATAAACTGTATGTAAATAGAGCGTCCTATATGTAGGGAGCCTGCGGTAGTTTTTAGGCAAGTCTTTGGCGACTGCTTATTGATGCTAGGAAAAGTCTGTGAAACTAAACAATATGTTTGTTTTTACTAAGAAAAAAAGCCGCTGTTAATCACTAGTTCGAGTAACTCGCGCCTCATGCCCGAAAGTACTTATATAATTACTTGTAATTATTAATATCTTTTATGGAATGCAACTAGCTGCTTATTCTTATATTACAACCACATTTATTTGTCCTTAGTGTAATTGAGATTAAAATTTATTGCATATGAAATATTTTAATGGAATACTGCCAGAACGAAAATTTAGGAAAATGAAGAATAATATAATTAATTAAAGTAAAAGAGGATACCCTAATACAACCTAAACAATATGAGTGAGATCGTTCGACAATTACGTTTAATATCATTTAAAAGTATGATATAGTTATCATAACAGTACTGCAATATTTCAGTCATTTAAGTATGCAACGGGGTTTAAGTACCTACCGTGATCCACAACCTCATTTATGAACCATGTAAATTATTATTGCCATTAAAAGGAATTCATATTTTCAAGTAGAAAAAAAGTAGCTTTTAAAGTAATACTGATTATTGCGAGTTATTGCTTAATGCCAGATGAGCGGGCCAAACGGCAATAACAATGAGTTTTCAACTGCTCACAGCAATTTCGCAAATGAGATTCCTCGTTTATTTTGCTTAAGAATAGAGGGTTAAGTGGTCGCTAGTCGACCTTAAAATCCTTAACTACTAAAAGTAGGCACAGTTTGCCGCCATTGACAAATTTCGAGGTGGTTGTTTCCTCAATCAGAACATTAATGCAAAAATGACATGTCCAATACTATAGGAACACTTAAATAGAACACACAACCCGTCCATAGTTCATTTCTTTTCCGTATAACAGTTACTAATAGGAAATGAGAAAACCTCAAAGTCTTAAACATACATGCCCATTCCATACATCGCTCCCCAATCGATTCCCTGGAGACTTGCCATATCTATATTTGTCAGATTGTATCCTTGGAAATGACTGGGTGGCATTTGAGCTGCCATACCAGCAGCGCCAGGACCGCCAGGTGCTGGTCCGGGTGCTCCTCCCGATGCATTCGCCGAACTAGCTGCAGCCGCTGCTGCAGCTGAGTGAACGGCACTCATACCTGGTATTGTGTAGGGGGAGTACCTAAATACATAAAAATTGAGTTAAAATATTGAACACACACACCAAAAAAACATAACGGAAAAGGCCCATAAATTTCTTGAAACTCTACAATTCAACATTAGGATCCAACGGTATCACCCTCTCAAACAGTCATCGAATACATAAGGTTTATCCTTAGTGATCCTTTAAAGCTATCAAAGCCAACAGCCAAGTTCAAAGACAACAACACAACAACAAGCACTCTACTTAAATGCAAGGGGAACCATTACAGCAAACAATTTCAAACATCATGGGAATGGCAGCAACCATGAGATGGCGACAATTGGCTTATTTGAAAATATTTTTAAAACCTTACAAACTACAGTAAACTCCGCTTATAATGAACCCGGTTATAGTGAACTTTCGGTTAAAACTAACTTTTTTTCTTTAATTGAAACGTCATCCATACAGGCCAACGTATTTCTTACTGGTTATAACGATCCTGTTTATAACAAACTTTCGGATATAGTGATGTCTTTTTAGGGTAGTTAGTATATTCACTTTCCGTTTATAACGAACTTGACGATGGTTTATAACATCCAGATGTTAAATCAGAACAAATCAAGTGCGAAGCGCCAACTTATGGATCAAGGAGTAATAAATACATTCGCTAAAATCAAATTTATTCCTGGGTTTCAGTCATTTATTGTCTCTATTTATTAATCAAAATACGTTTCGGTTTATGATTGATTGTGCATTCGCTAAAATATCATTACAGAAAAACTTTTCTTCTTCTTAAGAAAATGTTAGAGGCAACCGATAAAAATGAAACATTTTCTATAAGTCTCTTAGATGCAGTAAATTTCATTCATAGAAATTGGCAAACATTTTGCTGAGGAAAATAATTGCAAATTTCCTTAAGCATATATGATGATTTGCAAGAAGAAAATAATTATGAACCAGACGATGAAATTCTACTTAACCAATGATTGGAAAAGCATAAAGTACATTGACTAGGAGTATGACTCAGATGAAGATGTGCACAATTTTGTCGAAGAAAAAGTTAAAATCAAATTGAGTGATTTCAATATCATCGAATATGTGAGCATTGATAATGACATTCTTACAAGAGAAATGTTGACCGATGAGCAAATTATCGAGTTCGTAACCTCATCCACAGCTTTAAGCGACATAAATAACATCTATTTTTGCAGCAAAAATGTACAAAAAAAATTTACAGACTATATGCAGTAGATTTAGAATTGCGTTATGTCTCTCTTTTTCAGATATTTTTAGTTATACATACTAACTTGTACTACTCCATGTAAATATAACGAAGAATATACACCACGTGTTTTTTTGTATTATTATTAGCTTATAGCGAACTCCGGATATAACGAACCAGTTTTAGTTCATTTTTGAAGTTCGTTATATTCATATACAACTGTAGTTTAGAACGCACGTTCTAGACGCGCGTTAGATGAAAAACCAAGTGTTCAAAATCAAAAGTCCTCTTAGAAAAACTTCGCTGTGATTTGCTTCAAATTTCAATAACTTTCTCGAGATATGGACACAACTTTTACATGACATTGTAAGAAACAACGTGTTGTCACTAGTTGAGTCAAGGTCAAGAACAATTCGAGAGCGACTTATTCGTAGCTGCCCAATTACATTGTTTAAGAGGGCATTAGATATATAGTAAACGTTATCAACCTACACAGGTCATATAAACATCATAATCGCGACCGATACAGAGCCATTCACCATCAAATTCAAAAGACGTACTGAATCGCAAAAGAAGAATGGTTAAAGGGTAAGTGTCAGGAGATTGGAACACTTGGAAAGAACAAAACCGCCCAAATTGCAAGTTAATCAGAGACAATAACAGGGGAAATTACAATTATCATGGACACATTACATACAGCAACCATTTCAGGAAGACAGACCTGAACAACATGGTTTCGAAGCGGCGAGCACTGATCCAAATATCTGAAGAGGAAATCACACAGACCACCCGTCAGTCAAAAAATGATAAAGCTGCAGGCCCTGACTGTATCTATGTTGATATTCTTACACTAGCAGAAGATAGTGTCGCTAGAGTTCTCACTGATTTATTCAACACCATATACATCTCAGGAAAACCCATAACCACGCGACCAAAAAATCTTAATGCAACCATTTCCACTGCTCACGGTATCGTACTATAAGCCTTATGAGCCATGTACCAAAACTATTTCCGAAAGTTATTCACGACAGAATATATCAAAAGTGTGAAGAAACTGTCTCATACACACAGTTTGGTTTCAGAAATGGTCTGGGGACCAGAGATCCTTAGATATGAATATACCCAGTATACATGTGTTTTATAGAATATGAGAAGACTTTTGATAACGTGCAACATTTCAAAATGATACAAAATCTTCAAAACATCGGGCTGGATCGCTAATCTATACTGGAATCAAGAAGCTTCTGTTCAGGTGCAGCACCATGTATAGGATGAGATAGAAGAGACCACTGTTACGGTTTTATGAGACGGTTCCAAAAAACAACATTTAAATCGGCAAACGGCTGCAGCTGGTGCGAAATGCGCACAACTGTTTTGGTTTTATGAGACGGTTCCAAAAACAACGGTTTAAATAGGAAAATGGCTGCAGCAGAATAGATCGCTCGACGGTGTCCGAAGTGCGCACCGCTATTTCGGTTTTATGAAACGGTTTTAAAAAAAACGGTTAAATCGGCTAGCTGCAACTACGGTTTCAGGTTACACGTTTGGAACACTGTTAATTTAGCAGTTACGTTAAATACCGACCATCCCTATTATAACACTAAAGTTAAGCTAAACACGTTCAAAACCTTTTAATTTAAATCTGATCAAGGCAGCACATTTTTTGTTAATTGCTTCGACTGTTCAACTGTATGTAATTTCCAATGGAACCATGTCTTCTAGCTAATATCTTTCTTTCAGATCTCGATGCGAAAGAAACAATTAAACATAATAAGTTATCTTAGAACAGTCGAATATATTTCAACTACATTTGACTGATTTGATTTTAATATTTAATGGCTTTTCTCGACAATGCATTAGTTGAGGGGGTGACAAGCAAAACCCCAGAAGTCCGCCAAATCCAGAATTTTACAAAAGCCGAAAAACTATTTTATAGTAGAATTTTCAATTTGTCCTTAAATTTTTTTATTTACCGACTGAAATATAAATCTGGCACACGTTACTGAAATCGTATAGTTATTAAATTAATATAAATAGCATTAAGTTTGAATATTCCTTCAAACTTGTGGGGTTTTGCTCAAAACACTGCGCGGCCTTTGTTATATTTTGGTTAGATAAGTAACCATGTGAAATTTAATAATCTGGGTCAATAAAATTATGTTTAATTATCTTTGGTTGAATTATATTTCCTAAACTAAGTATGTACTTATACAAAAATAGAAAGTTAAAGTTTTCAACAAAAAATAGACAACATTAGTTCTGTATAATATATGGAAGGCCTCGTCCTTCATTCATTTTCGTTCATTCGTCCAACATTCATCATCCTCACCATTAAGATTGCATTTTTTCGCAAAATACAATATTTGTGTGCCATAAAAAACTTTCACATTCTTTCCACTTTTGGCCATACAGGATACATAATAGTTCATCGCCTTTTTCGTAGCAACACTAATTGGAAGAATGAGAGGAATTTCGTTAAGAGGAATCTAGCATCAGGCTAGGCAATGACAACCAGACAGCCGAGATAAGGAGGAGAATTAGTTTGGCATGGGCAGCATTTGGAAAAGTCGCATATATCCTTAAAGAACCGAAGATACCAATTAATCTGAAACGGAAAATATACGATATCTGCGTAAACCACTTATATTGTACGGGTTCGAGACAGTCACCATGACAAAGAAAAGTGCACAAATACTACGGCATGGTCAACGTGCGATGGAGCGTGGGATGCTGGGAATTACCTTAAGAAATAGACAAAGAAACGAAGATATCAGAGCAAGAACCAAAGTGAGTGACGTCATAGAACAAACTGCAAAAAACAAATGGCGTTGGGCAGGACACGTTGCGCGAAATGATGAGAAATGGACGAAGACCGTTATGCAGTGGAAACCACAGAGAACAAAGAGAAGCAGAGGCCATGCCATTAGAAGCAGACCCATGCTAAGATGGCGAGACGACATACAGAAACTAGCGGGAAAGAACTGGATGCTCCCAGGCCAAAACAGGTCAACATGGAAGGAAATGTAAGAGGCCTATGTCCAGGAGTGGATTAATACAGGGTGATGAAGATGAAGAGACATTCTCAGCTGATGCCTCAGATGAAGGTTGATGCAAATATGCTGTGCAATGCTCAAAACTAAATAATAAAAGCTGGAAGAGGCGTCAAGTAATGGGTCACGTGACATGCATTTTAAAATCCTATTGGGCCACGAATTTTTCCAATGATGCTTTACCGATATTTGTGGGATTTTGCTTCAACTTGAATACTTATTTAAATAATCAAAAGCCGTGAACTCCAAGTCATAAATTTTGTGACTTGGTTTTGTTTGGCAACTCCTCAGTTGGCCAAGTGGTTTGCTCCAACAGACAAACTGGCTCGGAACCGGGCGGAGAATACGCAAGCTTATTAACGGTTTCGAAGCGCGTCCGAACGGATTGGAAATTGTAATCGGACTAGTCCCGGAAAGGTGGAGGCGCATGTTTAGAAAGGAGGACATTTTCAACATTTTTCGTAGCTGTAGTTTATTTGGTTTCACCTCCTGAAGATTCCCATGAATGAATGAATAAAAGAATATTAGCAAATATTAAAAACTTGCGAAGTATACATAATAATAAGTATAAGTAAGTTCCGTGTTCTAACTCATACCCGTGAATCAGTTGTAGAACTCAACTTTTCGCTACTTTTGGATGAATTTTGCGAGAAAATATTTCGAAACTAGTTTGCTAATTTATCTTGAACGTGAAATTCGTGAGTCGTGTTCGTTATCGTAAAATGTTAACTAACTTTTTTGTGCCAAAATTGCAAAATATGGATCAACAGCATGTGGTTTCAACAGGACGGTGCAACATGCCATACAGCCAGAGAAACTGTTGAATTACTGCACGAGTCATTTCCTGGTCGGGTTATTTCTCGTTTTGGAGATCGGCATTGGCCGCCCAGATCATTCGATTTAACGCCTTTGGACTTTTTTTATTGGGTTTTTTAGTCACAAGTTTATGTGAACAAACCAACAACGATTGAAGCCTTAAAAGATGAAATTCAACGCTCAATAACACTCTTGAAAAATTCTCAGAATGAATTCTTAAATGTCTTCTTTCTTGAGATCTCAGTCATTCTTTGAAATACTGTAAAATTTATACGCAACAGTCCTGGGAAATTTCAAGAAAAGAGCACGTCTGAAAGCCGAGGCGGTCATTTGTCCGATGTCTTATTCCATTCATAACCTCATGATTTGTACTTCATTTTTCAATAAATGTTTCAAACATATGCCACAAATATACAGGGTGAGTTTTTTTCAAGTGTTACAAGGCTATATCTCAGAAACGGTTTCAAATATATTTATTAAATTTTGGGAAAATAAGAAATAGGTACGGGGACGTATTTTAACATATGTTTTATTATTCTACTGAAGCGCCCTCTGTGAGAAGTAAAGGCAACATTAAGATTTTAAATGGAATGATATTTTTGATTGTGAAATTTAAACCAAGATGTATGTGTAGAAATGTTTATGTCATTTGATCACTTAGTTCCAGAAATATGACGTGCATCATAAATAAAAAAAATAAATTTATTAAATTATGACCCGACTAATAGTAATCAAATACGTTTCAGGAGATGTTCAAAATGCCTTCAATTTTCAAACACTTTACTACTCTAGTTTTTAAAGAACTTTGAAATTTTTGACAATTTGAAGAAACCAGTGACACATTGTATTGAAATTCAATAAAACTTCAATTATCGATAATTGTATAACCAGATGAGTAAACCATGCAAAAATTTGTACAAATACGTAGTTTTTCATGTAGAATCAAATTTCAGAATCAAAAATATATCATTCCATTTAAAATTTCAAAGTTGCCTTTACTTCTCAAAGAGGGCGCTTGAGTAGAATAGTAAAAAATATGTTAAAACATATCCTACCTACCTATCTATTACTATCCAAATTTTTTATATATATTGCAATCTGTTTCTGAGGTATAGCCTTGTAACACTAAAACTCACTCCGTATATGCTTTATTTAAAATTTGAATCCGTCGTTCTTACTGGAAAACGCTTTAAAATGATTAGTTCTCGAAATTCAGATCTGCATTAAGGAAAGCGAAATTGTCGATGATTAGTCAAAAAGTGAATATGCAAACTCCTTGAGTACTCCAAGTAGTACTCCTTTAGGAAAAACGTTTCCAGCTTAGCCGTACACCTACCTAACCGACTTCGAGACAGTAATACTATCTTTTACGTATATGTATGATATTTAAGAACATCAAAGTAATCGTACCTATAAGCAGCTAACTGGGGGTAGATCAATTTTCCATAACTGGCAACGGCTGCGTTTTGCGCTTGAGCTGCTACGGCAGCCGCAGCGGCTGCGGCAGCTTGCACATGAGACAGCGGTTGGACAGATGCGAGTGGATTGACCGCTGCTACAGGCGCTGGTAAACGAACTCCCAGGCCACTGAGCATGAGGCGTTTTCCCATCAGTTGAGCACTAGCTTGTACCGCCTCTTTTGGTTGAGCTTTTTTGCATTCGACCTGAAATATTAAATATAAGCATATAACACATTAGGAATTGGTATAAGGTCGACTACCTTTTTATTTTTAATAGTGTGGAAATGTATTTCGCAAACTCTGTCCACAACATCTTCATTTTCGAACGTGACGAATCCAAATCCTCTGTGACGCTTTGTCTGTTGGTCCATTAACATAACAGTTTCTTCCACTTTTCCAAATTGGTTGAAGTAAGCTTTGACCTCATCCGCTGACGTATCTTGGCTAACTCCCCCAACGAATATCTTTTTGGTTTTGCTGGGCTGTTTCGGCCGATTCTTGGGTGTAGCGTGCTTTGGATCAATTTTCTTACCATCCAAAGTGTGAATCGGTACCTTGAGTACCTTGTCAACACTTGATGGTTCTGAGAAGGTGATAAATCCAAAGCCGCGACTTCTCTATAAGTAAATATTTACAGTCAGTAACAAGGATAGTAATAAAAGAAAAATATATTTGAAACTATTGTGGATGTTCAATCAAGACGGCAACGCATTGCGATGGTTTAACATGACCATAAATACGTTTTAATTTTAAGGTTTTCTTTTCTGTAATATACAGGGTTATTCAATATTGGTGTCATCCTTTTTAAAGGGCCCCAGCCACCCTTTACTTGGAAAGTACGGGATAAACGTTAAAAAATTAATTTGATAATTCGATTTTATATCTTGAAGTTATTAACAACTTAAACTTAGCAATTACGCAATATCTTGAAGTAGGTTAAGGGGCATTTGGAAAACTAGATGAATATTTAAAAATCACAAATAAAACATTGCCAATCACAAATATATTTAAAATTCCTATTGGGGGTAGTAAGTAAGCATGCAACGGATCAATTAATAGTAGAAAGACTACATCTCTATCGTTTCAAAAACTTTCTTCCGAAAACCTCTCCATTATCATCAGGCTCGGATGGGGATGGGACATCGATCCTATAGGATCGATGGTAGCCATCGAAAGGTAATATTGATGTTTGACAACATCGATGTTCTGATAGTTTGCCGTTGCATACAAATTTCGAATTGATTAACTTAAACTTAAATAATTTTATTTTACTACCACTATGACATTAAATAATCGACTAAATTCATTCAACTTATAGTTGCCATATTTTTCGGTCAACTGACTGGAAAAAGAGGATTTTTTGGGGTGCAGCTGGAAATGGGCCGCTATGCCGCGGTATCGTTTGTATCGGCACTATCAAAGAGTTCGCAGAAAATGTTTCTATCTAGTATCAACATCAAATGTCCAATGTTTTCATTTCAGGATCTAACATGTTTTATCGATGCCCCAAATTTCCAACATCGATGGTAAAAATATCGAACATCGAACGAATTACATCGATGTTTGCGAAACATCGATGTTTTTCTCCCATCCCTACTCGGATATAGGGACGGGACATTGATGGTAGCCATCGATGTTGACATCGAAAGGTAATATCGATGTTAGGAATACATCGAAGCCAGAACATCGATGTTTCACATCATCGATGTTCTGATAGTTTGAAGTTGCATACACATTGATTAACTTAAACTTCTCTCGTAATATAAACAGTCTCGTAAACGATGGAAACCGATGTTGTAAAGTGAAGTTGAGCAGTTCTGTGACAAAACGCATGTACTGATAATAAGTATTGAAAAGCAGGTAACTGTTGCAATGAAACTAATTTCAGAAACAACATTTTTAATCGCTTAATTCATTTCGACTGGTTCGAATGACGAATTTACAGTTTTTCCTTTTTCTACATTTCATTTAGTTCCACTCGTCCTTTCTGTTGATTTCCGCACAAAGCATAAATAAACGTTATTTCCAGGTGCACTTAAATACGTCCGTTTTGAGTTGATAGAAACAGCAGACATGGAAAACCATTTAGACTTGGCGCACATTTTCATTGATTTCAAACTTTTCAAATGCCGTTCTATAAAACGTTTCCTTAAACATTTAGCTGTAGAGAACTAATATAGTGAAGGGATGTTATATATGAACTGGTACTGGAAAAGATGAACGTACGCGTTGAAATTTATGTTATTGCTTTGGGAACGCAATTGAAAAATCACATTTTGAATTACTGAATTCTTCAGTTCTTTTAGTATTACCAGAAACTAGAATACGATATTGCCACATGTATTATCTATTTCCTTTTGCAAATATCCTCAGTTTTTTGTGAGTCTTTTTTCCTCATTTCTATTGCCCACCTTAAATACCTTTGGACATAACTTGCAGAAAAAATGACGCAAATTTTAAATTACCCGGTTGTTAGGACAGTAATTCAGCACTGTTTGCATAATATAGAAAGCGCGTCATCGTCAGTCGATTACCTATGCTGTGCCGGATCGGGCGGAATTAAAGAACACTAAATTCGTCACTTTTAAAAAACTCGTACGTTTTACGCACTGTTCACGGGGTGTCCCGTAAGCACATGATCAAAAGGGTACTGCGATATTCTTTGGCTCAGAGACTGGCAAACTTTTACTAAGGAAAAACATCTGCCTACTCTGCTATTGATGGTCAAAGTTCTTCAAAAAAAAAAAACTTTTTTTTTTTGAAGATTTTCTGCAATATTGGGAGAATGGTGCGACGGATTTTAATGAAACTCGCTGCGAATGTTGCTGTGTAAAACTCATATTTTGATGCAGCAACCGAGTTCATCCGCTTCGAGCACGTAATGAATTGAAGTGTCGTAGTGCAAAAAGTACCAGAGCGTTTTATTTGGTGGATAGAATCAACTGATTTTCTTGAGTTGATGGACTAATCCTTTGTTCACATGTTTGTGCTCTTTCTTAAAAGTTGCAGCATTCATAGTTTTTGCGCAGAAATTTTTTTTCCTGTTTTCCTGCTACTTAAGAATAATAGACATTAAGGCACAGCCGGTTTCCATAATTTCCATCACCACTTTCAGACGGAATTTCGAATTAATGTTTGGGCCGGGATCATCGGTAACATCCTCCTTGGGCCTTATGCCATGTCGAGCCGCATGAATGGCGAAAACTATATACATTTTTTGAAGAACATTTTCCGGTCCGAATTTGGTAACATTTGCTCGATCTTCGTGCACAGATGTAATTCATGCATGATGTTGCTCTTCCGCATTTTAGTGCTGCTGTAACGGCCCATTTAAATATTACTTTTCCATACAAGTGGATCGGAAGAAGAAGGAGAGATGTTCCTGTCGAATTACCTCCCAGGTCACCCGACTGAACACCATTAGATGTTTTGCAGCAAACCTTTAAATGTAAAGTTTACGACACTCCAGGGGCATCCCATCTAGAGCTATTATGTAGAATTCAAAACGAGATGATCCAGAAATGTTGAGAAGGGTCCAATTCAATTTCACTCGAAACATGCAGCTATGCATCCAAGAAAACGGCGGGCATATCAACATCTTTTATGATTTGTATTAAACATATTTCTATTTTATCATCGACAAAATTCGACAAAGTCTTCTATCAAAATCAAGTGATAAAAACTTTCAATCCGTGCAAATGTCCGGTAACCTCACGTACGCTCTGACTCAACTTGTCTTCCCAAAACCATAATGCTTTGTCAAAGTCGGTCATTTCTTTATTAGAAAACGCCATTCGAAACGAATTTGTGGGATTGATTGAATAACGGCAAAAGTTTAACAATTAATTTAATCACGTGTTAATGTCTGACATTGTTAAGTGGCAAGCAAACAGAAATAATTGTTTGCCCAAAAACTATTAATGCTGCAAGATTTAACAAAGAGCACAAAAATGTGAACAATGAATTAGTGCATCAACTCAAAAAAAATTAGTTGATTTCATCCTCCAACTAAAAAGTTCTGGTAGTTTTTGTACGGCGACACTCAAGAATACATTAGGTACTTGATGAACTGAGTTCAAGCCGATGACCTCGGTTGCTGCATCAAAATATGAGTCTTACAAATTCATTGCGAGTTTCATTAAAATCAATCGTACTATTCCTCATGCAGAAAGGATTTTTTTTTAAGAACTTTGACCGACCGTCAATAGCAGTAGAGCCAGACATTTTTTCTTAGCTAAAATTAGGCCAGATCGTAATCATTTCAGCCAAAGAATGCCGTAGTACCCTTTTGATCATGTGCTTATGGGACACCTTGCATATTTTCCTTACCTGAGTGACTGGATCCTTCATGATCAGTACATCGGTAACATTTCCAAACATTCCAAAGTACTCTTTTAATTTGTCACTGGATGTCTGCCAACTAAGTCCCCCGACAAACAGCTTGCCAGGGGCTGGGTCTCCAGATCCTCCATTTTGGCCACTAGGGGTGCTCCTTCCACTTGAACCCGAATGAGACCCTCCGTTTAGGGTCACCAAGTAGTCAGGGTGGTGATTCTCCTGCAAACCATTCGGTTCGACCATAGTTGCGCTAGAAAGAATATTTAAGTTAATACAGGGTTAAACTATTGTTCTCCATTACATGTTACAAAATATATAAGATACTATTCCAGTTGACATATATTTTCTAACATGTGTTGTATTTATTTCAACTCAGGTGTGTTGTCCCAAGAATATTTAAACGACAAACGAATCCAATTCGTGTTATTGATAGCTCACTTAATAGTCTTAATTTAACAACAGCCACATTACCAAGTTATAAATATATGTATAACTAATCCGGAAAGTTATGACTAACCGTGTCCAGCTCCGAGATGACCAGATCATCCAGAGTTTCTGCCTTAAGAATAATACAAAGCACATCTATAATATAGCGCGGCTTGAAGAATGATGTTGAAGCCACAAAACCATCGAACAAATTGTCAAAATAAGGAAAATTTGTTTGAGAAGTTGCAATTACTCGCGCGTTGGACTGATTTGTAAAGTGATCCCAGGAGCAAAATGTATCTTTATGCAGTGAATTTCAAGATAACAGAAACTAGTTCTCAATTAAGGAGAAGATCTAGGAATCAAATGACCTCAGTGTTTGTGACATGCACACTAGACACTAAATATAGTTTGACTTTTGGTTTACATCCTTTCTTAAAAATACATTACATATTATTGGAGTATGTGGAATTTAGGACCAGTCCAAAACGGAATTAAATGCACATAATTAGAGGCGTTAGCTAATCATCAGTTAACTTTAACGTTTGCGTAACGATTAACAGTGAAACGTTAGGCACTCAGTTTAATCATTTTCTGTCATACAATTTTAAGGTAAAAAGTACAAATTCAATTGGGTCTCGTAGTTAATCACTGACGGATGCTCATAACACAAATTAGGCTGAGAAGCATTTTAAGCTATAGAAAGTACTGTACCTACTTCGTCCGCTTCTTAAGTTACAAATAATTTAAAAACAGTCAGTTTTGGCATACAAATTGGTTCTAATTCAGTGCATTTTAAAAATTTCTGCAAAACTTAGAAAAATCAATGGTTTAATTCGTCCTTGATTTTGGTTTCTGTAATCATTTTTCCCTGCATGTAATCTATTTACTTATAGTGTTCTATGTTCGATATAAAACTCTGTTCCCGACAATGTATATTAAGTTATATAAGCTGTATCCAAAACTTCCGCTTCAAGAGGATACAAAAGGTGTAGTATATGCAAAGTCTATTGAGTATGAAAAATTGCATGCCAGTTAACGATCGGCAATGTGTTTGCATTCCTCAGCAGCGCAAGTGGAATGAATGCATTTAAAGCTTAATATGTACTTAAATAAAAATTCATCAACTGTTTCAAAAGGTGGCCAAAAAGCCATATTTTTTAAATTATAAAGTTAAACACCAAAATAGCGTACCCCGGAAAGTTATTCAAACTTCAAGTTCGATAAAAACATAAAACTACGCAACATGAAAATTCAAGCAATGGGAACTGAGCAGTGGAGGTTCAAACGCACCACGTCTTCACTGCACCAATCATTTTGTTGGCAGGCAGGCCTATTGTCAAATCATCTCAATATACTTTGCATAGACTTTACATATTTTATTCAAATAAATATTTTTTTACTTAAATATCTATAATCGAAATAGCAATGCAAACAAAAAACATCTCAAGTTTTGAACAAAGGAAGTCGGTTATACCTTGGAAACTGCTTGGCGTATACAATTAAACAGATTTATTCGTGTATCAAGGCCTCGAAATCCCACTTTAGAATATGAAACCAGAAATTGTCGCTAAGACTCCTTGCGGTCGGGACTACAGGACTTCAAGTACGTTCAAGGTTTTCGAGGACGATATAATAGGTACACATTTTTTGGACAACAGTGTAAATCATGTGTCACCTTTGTAATTTAAATTGAAACGCTAATTAATGCTTAGCAAAAGATGCTCATTTAGGTGCTGGAGTTCATCGGGCAATACATACATAGTGGCATAAAATTAAAAACACTATTTTTCTTGCGCCAACGATTCGGCTGTATTTAGGCCAACCTCGCAGCTCATCAAGCTAGTGTGCTTTTTGTTATAAATAAACAATATTAGGATTGTTAGAAGTTTACATCTCTGATGACATGCTGCCTGATGGCTTAAATGTCGCCGAAACGTTGTCCCAAGAAACATAGTGTTTTGGTTTTCTGCCACTCTGTTTGCCGATTATGCCAAGCATCTACACATTCTACACGTCTTTTTCCAATTAGCATCACGGTCACCAACAAACCACAACAACTACTTAATACCTTCTTTGGACTTTGCTTTGAGTGCTGAAGTCAATGATAAGGGGTAAATTCGCCACCGAATGTCCAAGAAAGCTTATTATAAAAAAGTGATCTGATGAGTTTTTAAAATTCCTAGCTATCAGTAAGTATAACTTACCAAGAGAAGATAAAATTTAAAAACTCCTTTCAAGAATGTGCTTGATTTTTGCATCTGGCTTTAAATTTTGTCATGTTGATAACAAAAAAAAATCAAAAGCTTTAGATAGTTTCTTGTTTACGCCGAATTCAAACTTTAAAATTAGTAATCATTAATGTCTCTACTATATAAATTGCTTTACGAAGGCAATTCTTTAAAACAGCATTTAATTTCTCAAACAAAAAAATGTGTTTTCCCAATATCTTCAGGATATACCTATTCTATTCTTGTTGTCGAAGAAAGCGGGAAAAAGTTTCAAAATGTATGCAAAAGATCGCAAACCTTTCATTCATACCTACCTGTTAAGACTATTTGACAAAGGTCTGAAAGAGAACATAATTTAAAATTTTTATATGACTATATACTAATACTATAATTTTAAAATTACTATTTTCATAGTCATTTTAAAGATTGTTCTGCAGGCGCCATTTTTCTTTTGAATTTGATACCGTTGTGGTTTCTGAACAACTGGACTTCAAAAACTTTACACATTGATTTGAAGGTTTTCAACCGATTGCAACAATTTAAACGTCGATAAATTCAGAAACTGATCAACGCTAAAGTGGGTTTAATTTTTTCAAAATCGGTCCAATAACAAGCGAGTTATGAGCCATAGAGTCGCTGTTTCCAAACAATTTTGTTTGCCTTATTGTCATTTCTCGCATAACTTCCAGGGTTTTCAACCGTTGGTTCAACACTATATTAAAGCTACAATACATTGACACACACAAAAAGCTTCTTAAGATTAGCTAGAAATGCTTTGTAATAAACCCTGTAAATCACCTATTTATCAAAGACCAATTCTCTTAATTAAGTTGCAGATGCTAAGTATAATCTTTATATACTTCTTGCAAGGCTAGTATTGTCTGCCTACTACTAGGTATGCACTATGATACTGCACATCAGAGAGCACGTACTTTCAAATGACTTGAAAACTAAAAAATATATACATTTGAACACATTACAAACTTCGTCGACGCAACAGTTGCGTTCAATGTCAAAAAACCTAATATCGAATGATGGCAAATTGCAGAATCGTGTAATGTTTCACCTGCATTGTTAAACGAATTGTTTCAATAATTATAACCGATTGATTAATCGAAGCCCCCATTCTCCATCAGTTTATCTTTGCCGCCGCATTGAGAGCAAGCAGTTGGGCGAGTTGACGGAGTTACTCCTCCATCCGGTTAACGGAAAAGGTAAGGATCAATATATTCCCCTCTTGGAGGCGCGCGATACACGTGCACATGCATTAGTGATACGGGGCGCGGTTCATTTCTACCATCAACCAACGTTGCCATGCCGTTCATATTTCTTATGTATTGTCCTTTGTCTATAGCACATTTGGTTTGGATCATCTTTTAGGTAGACCTGCTTCTTCGTAATCGGTGGACTGATTGTCAATGTTATGAACATTCTAGAATCTGCCAGTTTTTTTTACATAAAATGTTGAAGAATGTTCGTCCACTCTTCGAAATATGTCTCCTATATGTTGACATCAGTTCTCTCTGTCAAGAGTATAAACTTCACAGATTCGTTACTCATTTACATAAAAAAAATATAATTGCTCGCACCATCTACTGTAAATCCAGATCTTGTTGGGAAATATAGTGTTTAAAAGATTGTGCCTATAAAGTAAAAAGGCAACGTTGAAAAGGGGACACTCCCGTTGCCATGGAAACGATTGAGCGCTTTTAGGGTGGAACGCGCAGTGTCCTCGACGCCTCTCAGTCGTCTGTAAGATCGCGTCGCGACGCGCTTTTATCACAAAATTCCGAATCTCAACCATTTTATCACATTCGCTTCGTTGATTTTACATTTGGACTGCTGGCTCTGATATTGTCCTGTCACAGCAGTACTATTTCCAGATACTGCTGGTGCGGGACATAACCAGAGCTGGAAGTCTTTGCAGCATCAAACTTATTCAAATTGCCAGTGCTAAAAGTGTGCTGTTGTGCAGGCGGATTGAAATCAAAAGGAAAAAGCTTCGTAGACATTAGAATCTTAATTGTTTATATTAGACTATTAGCAGCGTAGACTTGGTGGTTCACATTTCTGATTGTACTAACATTTAGATTGTTTTTAGACTATATCGATTGTGTGTTCACTACGATATTTTTGCACCCATCACCTTATACTTCTTAGACAAACATAGTGGCTTTAAATGTGACCTAGCAGTAGTAGTAGAATAAAGTTGGCACCGAAACAGTGTATTCTTGTATTTCTAACCTAACCAATAAAACCTGACTCACAAATATCTAAGTGGCCATTGCTGTTTGTGAACGTCACTCCCACGGGTCAATATTTCAAACTGGCGCTATGCTACCGCCCTCTGGATTTGAAGTGATTAATTATCTGGGAAACTTACAGAGGGAGCTTAACAATAGGATAACAACCGCTCATTGTTCCGGGGCTGAACAATGAGAGCAGTCTAAAATGGAAGTAAGACAATTCTTCTTAGTTTTTACTTGACAAAAATTCCAAACATTCAGCTTCAAAAAAGGGTCCATTAATTGTAAAATTCTTAAGTTTTGCTTTATAATGTAGACACTGAGTCCAATTGAGTAACGAACTTACG